GGATTTCATTGAGGCCTATATAATTTGCACACATTAATGGTATGTTTTATTATATCCACGGATAAATAGCCTAGACATAATGAATAGAATTTTAGAGACAGCAGACATTACCATTAGATGTATGCACAATGAGAAGTAAAGAAAACTATCAAATATTACATTTGGAGATACATGTAACAAACTCAGAAAATCAATGAAAGGGTCCCTCCTATATCAACTCACTGAAATAAGGATTTAGGAAAAAAACAAACTGTTATATGTATTCAGCCTAATGTCATTAATCAGAACGGAAATCGACAAGCTTTTTGTAGAGAATAAAACCAAGCCCGGTCCTATAGGTCAGATCCCTATTTATAATGAAGTGATCCTTTTCAAATCATACACAACATTCATTGATAGAAAATTGACCTTTTTAGACAATGAAATGAATAATATTAAGACTTTAAATATGCTGTTGTCTGTCCTTTGGATGAGACCGGAGTACTGAAATTCAGTGTAAGAGCAAGGATGACCTCTAGAAGAATTTTTACTAAAAAAAAATTTTTAAAAAGCGTCGAAGAACAATTTCTTTGAAAAATAATGAATCAGATGAAAAACGCATACTAAAAACATTTCATTTAAAAAAGTGTGAAATTTATGGTCATATTTTGGGGTTTTTTGGGTGTGGGGGTAGGGGTCATGGGTGTTGTTGTTGTTTTTCTTTACTTTGTGTACTAAATATTAAGTGATTGTACGTAAAGAATAACGTACATTAGCATTAAACCTTTTAAATCTAAATAAGATACTATAAGACAGACCTTTCATTTTACAGACAGACAAACGGGCATTCTTATTCAATTTTTCATTCCTTTTCCATGAAATCAATATATTCACCGAATGAATAAAATTCCTATATAAATATAGGCCTACATGATTTTCACGGATTCCTGGAGCTTTTCTTTATATGTACAATATTTTGGTCAGATTTCATTCATTGATCTTTGATCACCTTTTATTTTAAATTTTGACCATAGAATTTTCTACGACCGGGCAAAAATTATTGCCTGATCATATATCTGACCAAAAAAGTACAAATCAGCCGTAGGGTAGGGTGGTACATTAAAGTCAAATTTTTGATGGTCTTGTCACTCCACTATAGATACTATGGAAACTTATTCAACTTTTCTACGCACGCGTACAATGGTGTGGGAGAAGACAGTATTGAGCAATATTTTCGGTCTGGAGATTACAAAAATTATTTTTACTTAAATTTATTTTTCTCTTTAAAAATAGAATTTTTAGGTTCTGAAACCTGTAATTTTCTGAAACATAATACTTTTAGGAATGGAACAAAATAAACAAGGGTCTTGCGAAAATTCTACATTTGTCAATTTTCCCCTTTGTGCGTCACAATGCCGCTTTAATTCATTTGTAGACGGGTTATTTTATACTTTAGTTGTAAAGGAAAGAAAATGGAACAGCCAGACAAGCAGTTTGTGTCATGTAATACCCTGACAACAATTCATTGTATTTGTATTTCAGCAGATACATATTTTTAATGAAAGTTAATGAAATTAGGAAAATTTGATTGTGTAAAATGTGTTAAATGCATAGACTAGCGAAAAATTACTTTATTTTTAATGGATATATAGCGCATGGACACAGATTTGAAGTTAATATTTCCTGTATAATATTACAAGTTATTTATTTTAAAAGCATTTCACACAAAAATATAATAAAAATCTTCACAAATTTTAATTTTATTCTTAATACATAGCAAAAGTGGCAATTTTGTTGTGTATAAATGAAAAATATTAAAAAACTATAATCCAATAAATTCAAAGTAGAAATATTCGAAAGCAAAACATACACACAGTATATTGTAGGTCCGTGCAGTTGTGGTGAACAGACTTTAAAGAAATAAGATATCATTTTTAGAGTTTCATTTAGATATGACATGAGGTCGGTAGGGTGATCAAATTCTATATCGCCCGAACGGCGTTATTTATGATTGAACGCACCCGGTGAATCGTAAACATCAACAATGGCGTTCGGCACTAGAAGTGAAAGTCAAGGGTCTTTCGGATATGACCTTAAAAACGTATGTCCCGTCACAATAGACGTTGGCACGAGAAAGAACCCTCTCTGCTCAATGGCACTGAGTGCCGAGTATTGGTATAAATTTGAAGCCCTTCACCGGCCAACGGTGACTTCTCCATATGAATGAAAAATTCTCGAGTGAAAAGTTAAACAATATGCAATCAATCAAATTGCTAAACTCTGTACACAACACTGAGCGCAGAATGGCGATTTTTGTGAAGAGGTTTTGATTTCTATTATTTCCCCAGTGAACCTTTTCTTTAAATTTGATAAAGAAATAGAAACTCTTTAAGGAATTTACAGGATATAGAGAAATGGACGTCGGACAAGATTCCTTTTTCATGTACACAAAGTAAACTACATGTACTTTATTTTGATGTTGCCACTGAGTAAACCTCATTTAAGGAAATGCTGTATACTCAACGGGAAAAATAAATTTTAAAAATTGAAAGTTGTTTGACACAAAACTTTTAAAATTACAACAAAGCAGGGACAGGAAATTGTATACCTATACTCCAGAGGAAATGAAAGCTATGTTATGATTCTTTTTTTCAAATTTCCAAATGTTTTATTCTTTTGTCAAAATACTAGAATTCTAAAATTTTGAAAAATATTCAGAATTTTCATAATTTTCACCAAGTCAAAAAATTCTTTTCGTTGACTATTAATAAATTGTAAAAATCATTTGTCATTGAAATATTTATATGCCACTCTGTAAGCCAAAAATTAAGTCTCTCTTGTCTTTTGTTAAATTAAATAGTTTTTATATTTCTTTTCTCTGTTATGCCTTTAATTTTAAGCCCTCGGATAATCTCAGCCCACGCTTTCTGGCCTTGATGCCCGAACCGAGATCAAAACTGCAGTATGATTTTTTTTTCAATGGTTAGGTCCAATTTATATGTTACACATGGCAAATGTTTAGTGAGGTCCTATCCCCGTCCTAAACTTATTGAATAATATATAAATGAATTATTTTGTATGTCCTAGTTGTCAGGAAAATGATATCATGAAATCGTATTTCCTATGTTATTTTTAATAGATATGTTGTGCTTGTATGTATTGTTTACTAGTCTAGAGAAACACCGACATCTTACGAAAAAACGTAACCAAAAACGGGGACCAGTCATTGTAGTCTATTGTATTCACTGTTGCATTATTGAATTCTTCAATTTTATTGGGATTTCGATAGATAAAATCCCCACAAGATACCTCAAAGCCACGTTTTGTCGTAGTCGCTATCCAATCACAACTTCTCGGGCCTTTCCGACTAGCGGAAAAACGACCTCGAATGTACTAGGAAGACGCCATTACATATCCCCCTTTTTACGATCTTTGAAATAAATGCATGGAGACCTTTCATCTGTGGAATATGGAGTTCAAGTTTATTCAATGTAATGACATTACTTAAAATATACCATAGAAGGAACTTCTATCTCCGTCTACACTATATTTGAATAAACAGGAAGATGTATAAATTTTTAACATCCGCGGTGATGTTATTACATTCGAGGTTGTTTTTCCGACCTCTGACGGAAGACCCGAAATGATGCGATTGAGTCGCTACCGTGACGCTAAAATACATTTCAATGGACATATAAACGAACAAAGGGGTTCGAGAAGGGAAATGAAAGGTATATTTAAAAAATGTCATTCTGTGGCATGAAATAAAAAAAAATAATAGTATATGCGGATCTAGTAGGGGTCGAAGGGGGGGGGGGGTTACTTTACTAAGGGCGGTCAAGACAATAAGGAGTTATGGTCTAAAACTAAATTTCAAAAACCCAAAAATTGTTCAAAATACGGTGTTTATGTCTCTCAGTTGACTCGATGTGCAAGAGCATGCTCTTTATGTGCTCGTAGAACAGCCACGGCTCCTATTGTTTGGTTCTTTCACCTCTACTCAAGATAACTCAAAATAGCTTAGCACAATTGCTCTAGACTGCTATCTTCACTTAAGTACTTTTCTTCCAACCTTTGCTTACTATAATTGATTTCATGAGTAACTATCATGGTTTGTGATTTCTAGCCAAATGAGACGAGCCGATGGTGTAATTTTACTTTGGATTTGGCCCGAGATTTTTTAAGATCAAACGTCGACTATTTTTTATTATCGGTTGAATTTACACAATATGGTATAATTTGAATGATAGATAACAGCAATATAAACATATGGGAATCAAGGGATGGTTTAATGTAAGTAATTATTTTTAGGGGTAAAACGTAAACAATTCCCGATTCGCTTTTGCTTTGGGGGGGGGGGGGTTAAAGCGCAGAAATATTAAGTCAGGCATACTAATCCGTTTTAAGCTTTGTTTTCCAATGTTATGAAGCCTGAAGAAGGTAATTAGTATTTATACATTTTGCCAAAATTCAATAGTCTTTAAATGGCCTTCACACGAATATTGCATCACTTTCACTTCTGCAGTAATCAAAGTACTGAAAGTACCGAAAGGATGTTGGTTAATATCATCATTGTTATGAGTCATTTGCAGTTTGGTATCGTTTCATTTGTTTGCTGGTCTATGGGAACATTTTTAGAAAATGCATAAAGGCATACACGAAGAATATTTTAACAAATTTAAAAAAAAAAGGGGGGGGTCTGGAACCGAGGATACTTAATGGTTAACCATGGGAACTGTTGTTGTCCAACTGGTCAATGACTATAAAAAATACAATTTTAGAGTTTTTTAGAGTGAGATTTTTTGTCTCAGGGTGACAAAGGTTCTAGCACAAGAAGCTGTAGAATTTGGCTTCATAAACTGTAGAGTAAAACAGCAATAATTAATCATTCATGTGCCTTAGAATAGATTTGCTGGGTTCAGCCACAAACAAGGAGCAAATTATATTAGTACAAGGCGTAAGAGTCGCACAAGGGTAAGAAGCTGTTGCTACTATCTCAGGATGTCAGGATCGGTTGGGGGGGGGGGGGGGATTAGGACACACATTGTTATTGTTAAAAGTTGTTAAAAGTAGCTTAGTACCTTAAGCCAAGAGGTCACAGTATCTTTTCCTTGTCCAATTTCTGTATGACATTTGGGTTTGTTTCAGTACAGAATCCTTTCAGACAACTATAAGCAACACCTGCAAAGATAGTTAATTAGTTATATTACTAAGTTCTATATTACTTTGTCACGCAAGGAAACTTGGTAAGATGTGTTTTAATGATTTAAAAGCCATATAAAGAGTGACAGCCTTTTAGGTAAATTATACAAGTAACCAATGGAAAAATACAGTGTCGGTAAGTATCAACAATGTTAGAGAAAATAGACGTTGTTTTATACGGACAAGTCCTTGGCTCAGTTTGTAAAACTTGTGTAATCACTTATTCTGTAAATTTTTATTGGTGAATGAGCAGGCCCTGGTCGACGGTGACCATTTGCGTTGAGGTACTGCCGCCGTCACCATGGTTCTTGGCACCCCATTGGTGGCGGTTGCAGTTCCATGATTACTCGTAGTAGACACGAGTAGTCATGGCCTTTGCAAGTGGCGTATTCCGTCGCACCTCAACGCAATTGGACGAGTGCAACACATATTCCTACGCTCATTCCATTGTTTATTGACTTGATTGATATTTGAATTGATTGATTGATTAATAATTGATTGATTGACAAGTAATTGACTTGATTGATATTTGAATTGATTGATTGACTGATTGATTAATAATTGATTGATTGAATTTGATTGATTATTGCATTGGTGACGTTCATGCACTTGTGACCTACCCAGTGCATGATCCGCCCGATTTGGGTCGTCACATTTGTTGTATTGATTGTTGATTGTGGGACAGCCCTGTGGTAGCCCCAGCAAATTGATCACCGCGGCCAGAAGCGCCACATTAAACGATCAAAATAACATCCATATTGTTTGTTTGATTTATAGGGAATCTGAAATAATACCACTTATACGAGCATGGTCTCGGATAGGTGAGTTTATTTCAGTTACCCTATGTCCTTCCATTCCGGATATCTTCAGTCCTTACAGATATATGATTATATGTACCCTTAGTACCAACCTATCAATCCGGAAAATTTAGGTCCATTTACATACACTAGTTTAATACTTAGTTGTTACCTCCTCTTCCTTTCTCGATAAATCGATAAAACGGTAAGGTCATGGAAAAATTTGTGAAGTTAAATTGTTGCAATGTTTTAATTTTCCCCACCCACCCTCCTCTTGTTTTAGAACAAATACTGCTCTTCTTGTTATGTCATTGTAGCTGAAGACTTCCTGCTTGGCCTGTGTCCACAACATCCCATGTCGCAGTGATAATCGTGTCCTCCAATATTCCTCAATGGTGGCCTGCTTGGTCCAGCGTCTTCATCAACTTGTGTTGCATTAGTGAATTCTGTTTGATTGCGTATTCTTCAAAGACTGCCTGTTGGGTACAGCGTTCAAATCAACCAATGTCGCGGTAATGAGGTCTCTAATTATGTTCCCCAAACGAAGTTGGGGAACATATTGTTTTTACTCTGTTTCTTATTATTATGTTCCCCAAACGAAGTTGGGGAACATATTGTTTTTACTCTGTTTCTTATTATTATTATTATTATTATTTTTCTTCTTCTTCCTGGGTACTTTTTTGTCCGGGAATGATCTTGTAAACTGTTCGTCTGATGTAGGTAAAACCTTTTTAGGGTAAGTAGACATGTTATGTAGATTTGCGGAATCAAGGTCATTTTGCGCGCACGTGCTTGCAAGAGCGTACACGTGCAACACGTGAAATGACCGATTTAATTGAAATAGGCGTAACTTTTTACATTTTTGATGAACTGCTTTAAAACTCATAATATAAGAATATATTAGAAGTATAAACAACATCGCATGGTCAAAATAGCAAGATCTCACGCGCATGCACGTACGCTTTGCTCTGATTGGCTGAAACTAAAGTCTCAATATCTTTCTTGTTTATTGACAAAATCCTTTGAAATTTTGAAGATAGCCATGCATTAGGATATCCTACAACATAATATATAGCAATTATCATGAAAACACGTGCATGCACGTGCGCTGCAATCTGATTGGCTGAACCTTTAAATAGCTATAACTCCCTTGGTTTTCAACCAAATAGGATGGGATTTAGAACATAGATAGATATAACAGACTTCTACAAGAAGATATGGTCACATGCACATGCATACACGTGCGTGTATGTGCGCTGCAATCTGATTGGCTTAAACTTTAAACAGCTATAACTCCCTTGGTTTACAACCAAACGGGGAGGGATTTAGAACATAGATAGATGTAATGGACTTCTACAAGAAGGTATGGTCACCATGCTCATGTATGCACGTGCGTGCACGTGAAAAGGGTAAAATAAAAAATACACTTGAATGAGCGTATTTTTAAAATACTTTTTGATTAAATACTTTAATATTTAGTATATTAAAATATATAGATTGTGTAGACAAGATGATATGGTCATTACGCACATGGATTCACATGCGCACGCGTGCAATGTTTAAATTTGAATGAACTTGGTACACTTCCGGGTAAACGTTGTTAAAGTCTCAAATGCATAGAGTTTGTCTTATTTAATGGTTACAGGGAATATGGCACCAAAAGGGAGTTGGGGAGCGTTTGGGGAACATCTGTAACGGTCCCCGTTACAATTAGCACTAGTTATTATTATTATTTTTCTTCTTCTTCTTCTTCCTGGGTACTTTTTTGTCCGGGAATGATCTCTTAAACTATACCTCCGACTAAGGTGAAATGTTTTTAGGGTCAGTAGACATGTTATGTAGATTTGCGGAACGAAGGTCATTTTGCGCGCACGTGCGTGCAAGAGCGTGCACGTGCAACATGTGAAATGACCGATTTAATTGATATAGGCGTAACTTTTTTAATTTTTGATGAAATGCTTTGAAACTTATAATATGAGGATATATTAGAAGCATAGACAATATGACATGGTCAAAATAGCAAGATCTCACGCGCATGCACGTGCGCTTTGCTCTGATTGGCTGAAACTAAAGTCTCCATATCTTTCTTATTTTTTGACGAAATCTTTTGAAATTTTTAAAATTGCCATGCATTAGGATATCCTACAACAAGAAATAAAGCAATTATCATGAAAACACGTGCATGCATGTGCGCTGCAATCTGATTGGCTTAAACTTTAAATAGCTATAACTCCCTTGATTTTCAACCAAACAGGATGGGATTTGGAACATATATAGATATACTGGACTACTACAAGAAAATATGGTCAACATGCACATGCATACACGTGCATGTACGTGCGCTGCAATCTGATTGGCTGAAACTTTAAACAGATATAACGCCATTGGTTTTCAACCAAACGGGGTGGGATTTAGAACATAGATAGATGTAAAAGACATCTACAAGACAATATGGTCACCATGCTCATGTATGCACGTACGTGCACGTGAAATAAGCAAAATAAAAAAAAACACTTGAATGAGCGTATCTTTTTAATACTTTTGGATTAAATGCTTTAATATTTAGTATATAAAAATATATAGATTGTGTAGACAAGATGACATGGTCATTACGCACATGCATTCACATGCGCACGCAAAATTTGAATGAACTTTGTACACTTCTGGGTAAACGTTATTAAAGTCTCAAATGCATCGAGTTTGTCTTATTTAATGAAGCTTACAGGGAATATGGCACCAAAAGGGAGTTGGGGAGCGTTTGGGGAACATCTGTAACGGTCCCCGTTACAATTAGCACTAGTTTACCTATACCGTGATGATGCCTGTTGGGGATTCCGCATCAAACAATGTCGCAGTGATGAAGTCTCTGTTTTACCTATACCGTGATGACTGCCTGTTTGGGATACCGTCCACTTCAGCCTTGTCGTTGTTGGAATTCCTAGTGTTTGCGTATTCCGTCGCACCTCAACGCAATTGAACGAGTGCAACACATATTCCTACGCTCATTCAATTGTTTATTGACTTGATTGATATTTGAATTGATTGATTGATTAATAATTGATTGATTGACAAGTAATTGACTTGATTGATATTTGAATTGATTGATTGACTGATTGATTAATAATTGATTGATTGAATTTGATTGATTATTGCATTGGTGACGTTCATGCACTTGTGACCTACCCAGTGCATGATCCGCCCGATTTGGGTCGTCACATTTGTTGTATTGATTGTTGATTGTGGGCAACCCTGTGGTAGCCCCAGCAAATTGATCACCGCGGCCAGAAGCGCCACATTAAACGAACAAAATAACATCCATATTGTTTGTTTGATTTATAGGGAATCTGAAATAAAATGAATGTGCTGCATTTTTTCTGAAAGAAAATTCCACTGCAAATTATGTCTTCTGTAAGTTTTTTTAAAAAGAAAATACGAGAAAATGCAAAAGTTCATGACGTCAAAGTTAGCATTAAGAAAGTCATATTGGAAAAACGACTGGTTTGTTTGGCTGCATGGATTACAATAAATTAGAAAATGTTAATTAGGATTTCTTACACTACTTCTATATTTTAGAAAAATACAGGGCTATATTTGTATTGAAACCGTACCTTGTTCTTAAACCCCTACCAAAATTAGTGATTTCACAGTATATTTTATCTCATAGGAATAAGCAAAATCGAAAATTAAAATAAAATATAGAGATGCAAGACCCAAGACAATACAAATGAAATTAACAAAAAAACTTTCATTTTAAGATTGATTGAATGTATATTGTTTAACGTCCCTCTCCAGAATATTTCACTGATATGAAGACGTGACCATTGCCGGTGAAGGGCTGCAAATTTAGGCCTATGCTCGGCACTTACTGCCTTTGAGCAGGGAAGGATCTTTATCGTGCCACACCTGCCAGGCCTCGGTTTATACGGTCTCATCCGAAGAACCGCCCCATTTAGTCGCCTTTTACGACAAGCAAGGGGGTACTGAGGATCCATTCTAACCCAGATCCCCACGGCGGACATTATTACATTGTGTAAATGTTCTGTTTCATTGTCATTTTTTAAATAATGAAATGCTTACGCGGGTTATATATTTTTTCTGCAACAGCTGTGACATTAATTCCTGTACTAACAAAGGGAGAAAGAAATTTTATTGTTTATATTATACATCTGTATGAAAAGCATTCAAAATAAAATTTGATATGATAATATTGTATTATAGATGAATTTTTCATTGTATGCATAACTGATGGAAAAGACAATGTTCAAGAAATCCATGCACGTGGCATAGTGTCGTTTGTGCATAGATTATTGGCAATGATCTTCATTAGAAATTAAGGGAAAATATTCAGTGGACGTAAATATTTAATACATAATATCTGTATTTAAAAAACTTCTCTGACGTCACCCATTGTTATTAGTCTACGTATATTTTACCGATTCAACCAGCACTAGTTGGATATTCAAAATATCCAACTGCCTATCGGTTGGGTATTTAAATACCCAAACTGAGGTGCAGAAAACATAAAACAATGAACAAAAGAGATAAAGCAATTTAAAAATGTATTTCCAATGCATATGAAAAACTATTACTCCAAATTTGCCACACTATTAGAATTAATTTCCAGTGCACACGGAATTACCGTAATAACTTCACATTTATTGTGTTTCAAATGCACTTCCAATGCTCACAGAAATTACAATTCCTCCGAATTTTGCACACTTTTAGGAATGTTTTCGGTCTTAAATCTTGAAAGCATCGCTTTTTAACACATAAATACATTTTTACCTTGAATCTTAAACTGCATCACCTCTTATTGCCTAATATTATTTCAGGGTCCGTCATCCTTAAATCCCTTCAGATTATCCGATATTCCTCTGTTTCATTCTTTTCCGGTGTACTTCCCAAAAGAACTTGAATAATTGACAGCCCATCTATTTTTCGACACCATTCTGATTGAAGATCTTGATATGGAATTTTTTACAGCAGGTTCAGTATAACAACGCCAATCTTTTTATCTGTTTAAGCACTATTTCAAGTATTGTTCGAAATCAACTCCATAAGAATTCAACGCTTTTCCTCAACAAACCATCATCTTATGATATGTAATGACAAAATCCCAACCTTGTATAAAAATCTTGTAGTTTTCTTCAGCTTTCAGGTCAAAAGTATCCATAACATTATCTGAACCTCTCTAATTTACATTGGGTTTAAAAATAGTCTTCGTCTGATTTCATGACTGTTCAGTACAATGAAAAGGGTTAAAATGAAATCAGCACCATGTAGTTTCGTGCTCACTAGTCCATGAATAAAAGGGGTGTTCGATTAGGCCATTGTTTTGTGTCACGGTTGGATATTTGAATGGGCTACATCCTATTGTAATACAGCAAGTTGGATATTTGAATGGGTGAATGTTTCTTTGGGGCCCAAAGTAGGGAATTTTTTTAAGTAAGATAAATAACGAGATGGTGTTGAATAGTTTAGAGAAAACATCCCCTCCTCGGGCCTTCGGCCCTCGGAGAGAATGTTTTCTCTAAACTATTCAACACCATCTCGTTATTTATCCCTTACGTAGCCACGATAACAGGGTCTTTTGTGTTTCGACAGAACGGAATTGATAAGTTTTGCTTCGATCTTCCTCGGGGCATTTAGTTAGTAAACCAAGCAATCTAATGAACTGTCACTTTGATTTTATTCGGTATTCACCGAATTTTCAAATAATTAGTTTTAATTATGCCTCTCCGAGATCTAAAACAATTCTTCCGACCCACTAAAATTTATTAAAAAACTTCTCTGACGTCACCCATTGTTATTAGCCTACGTATATTTTACCGATTCAACCAGCACTAGTTGGATATTCAAAATATCCAACCGACAGGCAGTTGGATATTCAAAATATCCAACTGCCTATCGGTTGGGTATTTAAATACCCAACTGAGGTGCAGAAAACATAAAACAATGAACAAAAGAGATAAAGCAATTTAAAAATGTATTTCCAATGCATATGAAAAACTATTACTCCAAATTTGCCACACTATTAGAATTAATTTCCAGTGCACACGGAATTACCGTAATAACTTCACATTTATTGTGTTTCAAATGCACTTCCAATGCTCACAGAAATTACAATTCCTCCGAATTTTGCACACTTTTAGGAATGTTTTCGGTCTTAAATCTTGAAAGCATCGCTTTTTAACACATAAATACATTTTCACCTTGAATCTTAAACTGCATCACCTCTTATTGCCTAATATTATTTCAGGGTCCGTCATCCTTAAATCCCTTCAGATTATCCGATATTCATCTCTGTTTCATTCTTTTCCGGTGTACTTCCCAAAAGAACTTGAATAATTGACAGCCCATCTATTTTTCGACACCATTCTGATTGAAGATCTTGATATGGAATTTTTTACAGCAGGTTCAGTATAATAACGCCAATCTTTTTATCTGTTTAAGCACTATTTCAAGTATTGTTCGAAATCAACTCCATAAGAATTCAACGCTTTTCCTCAACAAACCATCATCTTATGATATGTAATGACAAAATCCCAACCTTGTATAAAAATCTTGTAGTTTTCTTCAGCTTTCAGGTCAAAAGTATCCATAACATTATCTGAACCTCTCTAATTTACATTGGGTTTAAAAATAGTCTTCGTCTGATTTCATGACTGTTCAGTACAATGAAAAGGGTTAAAATGAAATCAGCACCATGTAGTTTCGTGCTCACTAGTCCATGAATAAAAGGGGTGTTCGATTAGGCCATTGTTTTGTGTCACGGTTGGATATTTGAATGGGCTACATCCTATTGTAATACAGCAAGTTGGATATTTGAATGGGTGAATGTTTCTTTGGGGCCCAAAGTAGGGAATTTTTTTAAGTAAGATAAATAACGAGATGGTGTTGAATAGTTTAGAGAAAACATCCCCTCCTCGGGCCTTCGGCCCTCGGAGAGAATGTTTTCTCTAAACTATTCAACACCATCTCGTTATTTATCCCTTACGTAGCCACGATAACAGGGTCTTTTGTGTTTCGACAGAACGGAATTGATAAGTTTTGCTTCGATCTTCCTCGGGGCATTTAGTTAGTAAACCAAGCAATCTAATGAATTGTCACTTTGATTTTATTCGGTATTCACCGAATTTTCAAATAGTTAGTTTTAATTATGCCTCTCCGAGATCTAAAACAATTCTTCCGACCCACTAAAATTTAATATACTGTAGAAGTACTTTTTTCCGCGTGGTATTAATTTACGCTATGTACGCGTTCACAATTTTTCAGCAGAAATTTGTCCAAGCGTACTTAATATAAATGTAAGGCATATATAGTGACAATGTAGAAAATCCGCGTAATTTTGTACCCGTGGATTAAACAGAAATTGAGATTCCGCAGAAATATGACCCCGTGGAAAAAAGTACGTCTACAGTATTTAAATTTAACTATACCTATTAAGAGACACCTATCTGTTCAATAATTTTGTGGTTGCTGTATACTTTAGAAACTGTGAAGATAAGCAGACTTAAGTATAAGTTATTTTTAAAAGATATTTCATTGTAATAAATAGTTTTCCAATCTTTATTGCTTTTTTGTTATTCTGTCCACATTTGAACAACCTACTAAATCGTCTGGACTTTTAAAAATGATTGATTCTTCAGATTACACGCCTAGTGCATCAATATTTTTTTGTTTAGAATTTGTTTAAAATCAGTTTTTTTGTTAAGGAGTGCTATTTACATTCTGCCGTTATTATCTACCGTTATTTCATACACAAAAGACATTATGAAACCTTACACTCTTTAGTTTGAATTGAAAGATATCGAAGGCAAACATGATATGCGTCACAAGAGACAAGATATAGCAGTAAAGAAGGACAAAGGAAAGAAATTAGCGAAAGGGGAATGTATGCGTATGGGAACTTCAACCAAGTTTCAGTAAACATAGAAACTAGATACAGGGATATGGACGGGAGACAACATGAAAGACA